CATGGTGAAATTCCAGCGCCTTGAAAAGCAGCCCTAATGTTTTCTTTATTAAAAACTTTGTTGTGGGCCTGGTAGAAGGCAATAAAGAACTCCGACTTAGTGATGTGGTTTATGGAGGCTTTGATGAATAGGTTAATTTCATCACTATATGCGCGTTTTAAAGGCGAATAAAGGGCAATACCTAATGGCTGTAGTAGATGTGACGAATTTGCAGGCATACTGACGGTTATAATATTGTTCTGCTTGCAGTAATTGTCGAATTCGGCCAATAAATGGCTCTCGTGGCCGTCGATAATAAGCATCCGGTAGACGCCCTTCGTTTGGTTTTTAGTATGTTTGTCGAAGTATTTAATCTAGTTAAGACCCGCCTGATTATCCGTCCATTTATTATTGGTAGGTTTGATAACCCAGTCGCTAAGAAAACCTGATTCCGTGGTCCAACTAGCTGTCACGGTAGCAGGCAGGTTGTTTGGCAGGTGGATGCTGGGCAGGCGGATCAGACAATCTATTGCTACGGGCAGGCTCTATCCTAAGCAGGTACAGGCTCTGTTGACAAGACGTAGCTCAAGGAGCTACGTTTCTGGACATGCGCGACAGAATACAGGATGCAGAGTTTTATCCAGCCTCAGGCTTACGTAACCCGGCCACCGGGTTACTCAACACCAACCTCAAGGTTGGGGTCTAGGACAGCGGGTCTGTGACACTAGCAAGGTGATATGCGCCTTTGACAATCACGAACGGAGGGATGCACCACCCGCCCGAATTGATAAATTTAATAACTATAGCCCATTCACGGTTGCCAGGCTGGACAGACTTTGCTTTGCCGCGTCGATCAGCGCGTGTTATTACTATTGACGCGGTGATCATGCCTATTATAAAGCCAGTTTCGTCGAAATTATATAGGTCCCCCTCTTGGATACCATACTTGGCCATCATATTACATAACAGCGCAAACCACTTTGATATAACCTCAGAATCTTCTTGAAGAGCCCTTTGGTGATCGTATGGACGATTAAACTTGGTTTTCAGAGCAGGCTGCGAGTCCACAAACCGCCTGGCCCATCGCTTGCCAACAGGCTTGCCATTATGCGCTCGTAGCAGGAGATTGGCCATATCTTCCACACCAGCGAGACGCAAGGGAAACCCTCTTTAATCCTGTTCGATAACGTATTGGAGAAGCGCTTTCTCTTCGATCGTATCAAGTTTATGTCGTTGGGGTTGGGCACGTTCGCGTCGGGGTCGATCGTTCATTCTATGGCGTACGGAACTTTCGGGGACACCGTAAGTCTTCGCAGCACGCAACATACTTAGTTTTCGGCCGGCGGCGCGGGCTGATCGGATAGTCTCGATGGCTAGAAGTATCTTGTCTTCTTGTGTGTAAATTGGCATAATGGTTGTGGAGTTATTACGCGTCAAAGGTTGGAGTGGTTTAATGCAAAATTCAAGAATGGAACTGGGGCACCAGCGGGAACCAGGGACAGATAGAACGCATAGTAGCCATAAGGCACGATTTGGAGGACGATTTGAACTGTATCTAGCAATAGTTATAGGGCGACGGCTCTCCACGCCATATACCCTTCGGGAGGTCAGCCGCAAGGGCGGCTGCGCCCTTGCCGCCACGGCGTTAAATATAACAAACAAACAAACTAATGCAAACCGCATTTGGGAAAAAGTTCGTCGCTGACTGATATTAGTCGCTGACTGATGAACCACGTTATATATTCTTATAATTTCTCTTTTTTCCTCTAGCTTAGAATAGTTAATTAACGGCAGCTTTACATTAAACAAGCCTAGGGGCCAGCCTCTTATATGCTTTAAATTAATAATAAATAAAAAAACGCTATTTAAAACCTTATAACGAGAATGGTTTAATAGATCCGCTCGAGGGTAACGTAAATGATATATTAAATATAAAGATTAACCGCCGGGTTAATAAAATAGTTAATATAAGTATCCGTTCTTTTTAAGACTAGATGGTCTAGTAAACGGCCTAGATAACGTAGCTCTTAACGGTTCTAAATAGGCTTATATTACTAAATAGAGTAACCCCTATTGACACAGTCTCTCTGACAGAGGGGGTAGGACAGTGGCCGAGCCGGGTTACTACACGGCTCGGGCGGGTTGGTCGATTAAGTGAAACGATTAAAGAGCAATACGAAAGAGCAAAGCAAGTATAGTTAAACGTGTAATTGTTGAAGTGCGGAAGTGGAATTGGGCGGGTATGCTCGGACCAGAACGAGCAATCTGGACCCATAATAATCTGGGTGAGACCAACCAATGAAAATGCAGGAATCCAGGTGCCTCAGATGAGGGATATTCCTGGCTGCATCTGGAAAGGAGAACACACAAGATAGACAACAATATGAGAACAAGGATCCACGACAGAAGTGGCTTGAGGGCTTTCTACGTAGGAATCCCTCGCTAAAGATGCTTAGGGCACGGTCAATGGACTCTAAGCGCGTTAAGTCGGTTACCGTTGAGTCTTTGTAAGCCTTTTGGAAGACCCTAACAATCCCAGAAATCCAGAAGATCCTAATGTCCCTCCGCTAGAATATAGACGAAACGGGTTTGACGAAAGGGACCAGCAAGGATTATTTAGTACTGGGCAAGTCCAAGAAGCAAACGATCTATGTCCAGAACCCAGGGGATCGTAATTGGACTACGATACTCGAGTGTATCTCTGCCAGTGGCCGTCACCTTCCACCATTGGTGTTTTTTAAGGGGGAGACGGTCCAGCACCAGTGGTTCCCTGAGGAATTGACGGATTACGCCTCCTGGAGCTTCACATCGTCGACCAATGGGTGGACCTCGAATTTAATTGGCGTGGAATGGCTGCAGAAGGTCTTTATACCTGGTACGGCAGAGGAGGCCAAGAGACTGCGCTCCAAGCGGCTCTTGATTATCGATGGCCACGGAAGTCATGTTTCTGACGACTTTATGTGGCAATGTTACTCTCAGGGCATTTGGCTGTGTTGTCTACCAGCCCATTCCAGCCACATCACGCAGCCCCTAGATGTATCCGTCTTCTCGCCGCTCAAGAATACCTACCGCAAGCTTATCCGCGAGTGCGGCCTCCAACTCAACTCAGCGCCCATAGGGAAGCAGAACTTCCTCCGCTGTTACTTTCAGGCACGGGAAGAAGCTTTGATAAGTCGGAATATATGCTCCGGATGGAGGGCAGCAGGATTATGGCCCGTGGATATAAGTAAGCCACTTGAGAACCCATTGCTAGTTATTCCAGCAGCCACAGACGTCCTACGGGCCCCCCCATGGGAGCCACTACTTCCAGAGATTCCCGAGACACCCCAAGAACACCATATCATTACGCCTAAGAAGTCGGGAGACCTCAGGAGATACCGGCAGCTCTAGAATGGCCGTAAGGGGAGGGACGACTACGACCCCGTAGTACGGCAACTTATATTTAATAAAGTTGGCAAGCGATTAGATACCCAGAACTTCGCCCTAGCTAATACTCAAGGGGTCATAAAGGCACTAGAAGCTCAAGTTGGATTATATAAGCCAGTACCAAGGGCAAAAGTCAGGCAAGATCCAAATGAACGATTTATACAAATTAAGGCTATTATGAGGACAAAGAAGGAGATCGCAGCACGCTCTGCGCGGCAGATCACGGAACTAACGGTGGTATCGGGTATACCAGAAGCTTCTTTTGCCAGCATGTATTCAGAATTTCAGCTTTAGCAGCGCTGTGCCACCAAAAGACCAATTCGCCGCCATGAAGTCCAAAATGCGAAGTCTCGAAAAGTGGCCAAATTGGGCGATCGGTTGTGTGGGGTGACCTCTTATTACAGGTCGCGGTCGGATAGCTTCCCAGCAGAGGGGTGTGCGCGCGGCTCCGGCAAGGCCGGAGATCTCAACCGGGCTCCAGCCCGTGACAATGACTAAGTTTGCCAAGGATATGCCAGTATAAGGGGTCTTCCACTCACTATATAGATAGTCGGGATATTCTCATAGCCACTCGTTCTTCATACTCATCAATACATCCCATTGACCCCCTACCTGACAATCGTTGGTTTTCGACTGTCGCTGTTCTAGCGAAAAAGAGTCCCATGGTCCTCCTTCGCCTCGAACAACATGGTCCAAATACCATCGAAGATTTCGCCACCAAGCTAGGAACTGTTGGGAAGCGAGAGAACTGAAAATAACAAGGGATTGCCGGATATCGAGTCCAGAAAGAGAGCTGTGGCTATTATGGACTTGTTCTGGAAAAGAACTGTCGATATCTTACTGTCGGAACGGCAAGGCTGATAAGGAGCAATGGGCAGGTATCGTGGGCTGGCTGGCGCCTGCCCTGGGCGAAGTGGGACAACCGGCTTAGTCATCACGGCCGGTTAAGGTGGGGCAACCACCCAGGCCGTCACCACCTACTTCGACCGACCCCTGCCCACAATGTAAATAGGAAACAAGAACAACAACAGCAATTATCACGGACATCGACGTGATTGTTGCCGAAGATACACCCTCATGAGGAAATGTATCACGCCTGTGATACCAACACTTACCCTAGTCGGCTAGCCGGAAGCTCCAGAAGAACCGGGGCAGCATTTACGCGCAGGCCACGCGCGCCCCTTAACGTTCCATTCTCCAGCTATAGATAGACAGTTTGACAGCTTACTTGGTAGCGAGCGACCACGCTGCCCGGCCAGGCCGTTCACACTACCAGGCGGACATCAGAGGAGACAAGCCCCATCACCATTCCGTTTTAAGTATGTTGCTAGTGGACAAAGGTACTTAACAGGAACCTACCGACGCGTGCATTCCCATGTAATGCAGCTGTAACTACCTGGCACGTGCTGGCTAATGTGCGCTGCAACGGAATACCTCTCGCTTAAATCAATAAACCTGTCTATTCCACAAATTGGATATAAGGTGTATAATCTCAGGTTGCTCCTACTGCACGGACCATGTTCGCACTAGATATTACGGTGAGACGCGTACCGGTAGCTTATCCCCACACCGCCATTACGTGCATGGTGATCTCCACTAGACAATCAATGCGAAGACCTTTGTGTCCATTCACGCCGTTTCGTCACCCACAATGGAGGCTGAACTTGCAAACCTACGCCAGCAGCTTCTTGAAGAACAATGTCGACGCCGGGAAGCTGAAGAGCTGACGAAAGCATCACAACCACAAACACTCCAAGCTTACCTTGAGGCTTGTCACTCACTCAGCCTCGCTGTTCAGATCGTCACTGACCGCTCCCTGACGACAAAAGGAGACACAACAAACCCGACCGGTCGAATTTTCCCTCGACGAATTATCCCTTGGGATGACTTTCCAACAGCCCAAGAGGGGATCTGGGCTTGTCTACCACCTGGAGGCTCTTTCTCCTCCCAGGCCCTCTTTCCATCTCAACATCAACTCGACTATGTTATGTCCTTGATCAGCCCAATCAGCAGCGAAATCGGGCTCCGGAACTTCGAACGCGATACTGTTGAAAACACGGTGCAGAAGCTGATTGATGAGGCGTATAAGAATCCGCAACTGCGAGACGATCTCGACTTACAGGGAACCGTGACCTTCGAGAGCCATACGAACCTTGGCGAGACCGACGACAGCCTATCCGAGGACTTGGATCGTATGTCCATCGAAAGGGACGATACTGGCCAACCACCGTCAGCTTCGAGGCCACCAAGCCGCAAGCCGCGGCGCAGGGCGAGGGGGAAGGGCAATCGGGCGGACCAGTTCTGCATATATCGTACCTCTAACGGCCGCAACATCCCCGCCGTAGCGATCGAGTACAAGGCGCCGCATAAGCTGGGGCGCGACGAGGTCGTCACAGGTCTGGCGTCCGAGATTCAACCGGAACGAGATGTGATCAACAAGGATGGCTCCGGGTTCGCATTTGCGTCAATGGCACTAACTTCTGCCGTCGTCACACAGCTCTTCTCCTATATGATTGGCAAGGGCATCCGGTATGGATATGTGTGTACAGGAGAGGTCTTGGTCTTCCTCTATATTCCGGATGACCCCAGCATCGTTTACTGCCACGTATGCGTGCCGAACCTGGACGTATTGGACGACGATGAGAACAGGCTTCATCGCACAGCCGTCGCACAGGTCTTTGCCTTCGTCATTCAGGCCCTACGTGCAGAACCGCCCCCTCCGTCCTGGCACGACGCAGCTGCAGCTCTCGATACTTGGGCTGTAGAATACGACGACGTGCTGAGAAATATTCCCGAATCCGTGCGCAAGGAAGCTCGCTCCTCTCCCTACAAACCACAACAGTGGAAAGGTTTCAAGCGCTCGCCAATCCAGACACGGTCGCGCTGCAAGCAGCCTAACACTAAAGCAAGTCACCAAGACAATAGCGACAATGACGAAGAAGATACCCAGCCTTCACACACTCCAAAGCGATCCAACAAGTCTTCAGTCACATCATCAACGGGGGAAAGCTCAGTCGGGCAACGGGGCCAACCACGAGACTGGCAGGGAGGCCGAACGAAGCAACACAGGATACAAGACCGCCCGTTCTGCACTTCCGAATGCCTCCGAGGATTGGCATACGGCATGCCAATGGATAAGGCCTGTCCAAATTTTCAAGATCATGGACACCAACACATCAAGCAAGAGCAATTCTTCCAGCTTGTCCGCACTCAGCTGGCGCAATACCGCGGCCGTGATGCGGATGCCGTGCCGCTCTACTTGTCTGGTCGGATTGGAGCACTCTTTAAGGTGCGGTTGTCGTCCTACGGCTACACCCTTGTTGCCAAAGGTGTTGAGACAGTTGATCTCGGCCGCCTTCAGCATGAGAATGACGTTTACAATCGACTGCAGCCCATCCAGGGGATATATATACCTATATGCCTCGGCAGGGTAGATCTGGTCCTACCGTACTACTACGATAGTGGCGTCTTTAAGCACTTTTTGTTTCTCAGCTGGGCTGGACTGCCTCTATTCGAGACCATCCAACAAATTACCAAGGCCGATATCATCAACAAGGTTGCCACGGCTTACAAGGCAATCCACAGGCTGCACATCCTTCACAGAGACGCAGAGCCGCGCAACATTGTGTATGAAGAAGGAAGTGGCAACGTTATGATTGTGGATTTCGAGCGAGCAGAGCTCTGCGGTCGTCAACCTCTCGGCTCACTTAGCTCTAATGCTTGGAATCAGAGGAAGTTAGGGGGAGCTGAGAAACGACAAAAGGATGATTTTACAAAAGAAGAGGAGTCTGTTATCCTGAGTGTCTCACGGCTGTTATAATGTATATAGGACGTGTGAGTATGCAGCCGGTTGGCTGGCGGTTGTGGTGGGCAAGTAGGGCTTCAAAGGTGAAGCTTGGCATTGGCAGCAGTAAAGGCGCTATGGGATTGTATTCTCTTCTGAACATGTCGCAGCGCCACACGTGGCGCTGCCGGTTACTGCAGTACGATACCGCTTTCTACAAGCCGATTACCCGTCTTGTACGGTATATAGATATGACTCTCATACGGATCTTCCACTTAGAGGAATCAAGCCACTTTCTACTATACATATCTTCCACTTACTACCTCGCTTTGTAATAGTTATCAGCCCAGCTCTGACTTAACCATAAGCAATAGAAATCCCTACTATTATGAAGCAGGCTGTAAATGCCTACTCTCTCTCTAAACTACCCCTTCTCATACAAGACGAAACCGTCGTATACGCAACGATAACTACAGTCTCGCTCCCTACCACCAGGAAGGTTAATAGTCCTATAACTATTCATAAAGACTAGCTTCTACAGTGGAATTCCCCTCGCATTTCGGCTTGCGAACGAGCCGTCTAGAAATACATCGACCCCGACGGCACCGACAATATCAATTTAATATAGTTACTTCCATTAATCGAGCGCTATATCTAGGAACGTAACGTATTAGCCGAAGCTAAATTCCTTAAGGCGAAAGTAGATTATGATTAACTTATAAATAAAATAAGTTAACGTGGTTTACCAGTCAGCCGCGCATATCAGTCAGCCGCGCATTTCCTTATCGCATACTAAATTGCATATTTACCTAATTTCTTTGAATAATAACCAATTAAAAAGATTTCAGTATCTTTATAATATATTTAAAATAGTTATAACTAGTTAAATTTAATAGAAAAAGACACTTTAATCTTTTTATATTGAAATAAGTAGTAGAATAGAAATATGGGTCTTTTATAAGGATATAATATATTTACTCTTTTTCTAAATAGAAATTAATTTTTAAAACTTTTTATTTAGTTTGGTGACTTTTATCAAAGACTAATGAAAAAATTTGAACGTTATATAAGCAACAATGAAAAAGATATTAATTATATAATGTAGGCGACTTAGTATACGATAAGGAAATGCGCGGCTGACTGGTAAACCACGTTATATAGAACCTGCTAGATTACCTCTATACTGACACAGTCTCTCTGACAGAGCCGTCTCTGATAGAGGGGGTAGGACTGTGGCCGAGCCGGATTACTACACGGCTCGGGTGGTTTGGTCGATTAAGTGAAACGATTGAAGAGCAATACGGAAGAGCAAATTAAGAAGAAGCTAGGTATAGTTAAACGTGTAGTGTACTTGTTATCCCCCCCTAGGGAAGGGACACGGTCTGACCGTTTAAGTATATAGTCGCGTCTGGCACGTGACCGTGCTCAAGAAAGTAAACTAAGGGAAATGTCATATATGCCCTCCTTATTGAGGTAACCGTCCCGGTTATTTATCCCTAATTGATTCTAACTTAGTTAGTGATAATTTCATTATATATCTGTTCCTACCCCGTGTCCCTGTATTCCTCCTCAAGGTATCTAGTCAAGCAAGTTCGAGTATTTAGGCTTCTTGCTAGATCCGGGCTCCAGGTTGCTCGTGTGTTACGAGCTGGACAAGGCAACCAACTGTGGCACAAAGCAAAAGCTTCGATAATGATGACTCCGCATCATTTTCCCTTGTTCTGCATTATATAGCTACGCGCCCACAGTGACAAGTTGCGGCGGGCGTAACATCGTGGTGCGTCTCTTGGTGGGCGTGGAGATGGCCACCTTGGTCGTGTTAGACTTAGAGCCGGAGGCCTTGCTGGGGGTGGCCTTGGGTGCGGGTAGCTGGCCGGTGGGGGCTGAGCTCGCTGCAGGCAGGCGGGAGAGTTGTCGCATCGAGTCCTTGAGGGAATGGGGAGAGACATGTCGTGATGGCTTCTGGTTGTTGGGGCCATTCGTCGTGACTGGTGGTTGGCAGCAGCGAGACGGCGGAGCGACTCGGTTTGACGGTGATTTGTTGATAGCGGCGAGCTTCTCGAGCAGGATAGATGCTCTTACAGGGTAGCTAGCAATTATACTGACGATATAGAAAAGTGTAGTGTATTGAGAAAGTCGGGTTCCGCGGTGGGCAATTGAGGAATATTTTTGCGTTGGGGCATACCGCATTATTATAGGTGGAAAAAGTAGAGGGTAATGGGCAGCTAGGTAGGTAGATAATTAAGGGTGGGTAGAAGGGCAATACGCAGTTGTGAATACTGAGGGTGGTGATTTAGGGAAGGAAGGAGCTCGGCAGGGTACCTTCCTTTTAAGGTTACGACCCGTTACTTCGGTTTCTATATATTATTATATTAAAAAAGCATATTAAAGAGGTACGGGGAAATTTTTAGTTTTTAAAAAAAAGACAAAAAATAAGTGAAATATATTAGCCCCTTGTTAAACTAGGCCGTGCTTTATTAAGGAAGTTGTTGGGCAGCGATTATCAGGTAGGGGGTCAATGGGATGTATTGATGAGTATGAAGAACAAATGGCTAGTTATGGGAATATCCCGACTATCTATATAGTGAGTGGAAGACCCTTTATACTGGCATATCCTTGGCAAACTTAGTCATGCTTGTGTAAGACCATATTGTTTCATAGGCATAGTGTGACAATCGTTGTAACGAGTGTACTGGGATGGGCCTGACAGAAGTGTTTAGTATTTTATAATGGGAATTGATAGAGCGGCGTCCGGAATTGATACAGCGGCGTCCACCTTACAGCGGCGTCCGCGTTCACGATTTTAATTGGTTGAAAATTTTATTGTTAGGGCATGCAGATTCTGCCACTTTTCTTTGAAGTACCCATCACTTTTCATAGTTTCTTCAACGCGAATCTGCCTCAAAGGAGCTTTATCTTCAAGGCATAATAGACGCGCATAATATCCTCTACGTCCAAGTCCAGACATAATCCACGTCGCCGAGCTCAAGATAATAGCTCTAATAATCAAATCCGTCCTACAAAACGCCAACGCTCCGACAATAACAAAATATCATCATCTCCTACTTCAGACAGCAGCTATCTTAATATTAGCTAGTTCTATAAAGTTAACGATCCTTATACTTAAAGCGACTTCATTAGCGAGCTTCTAGGCAGGGTAATATAAAAAACACGGCCTCTTTTATACCATCAGCTATACTACCCAGGGATCGAGCCTAGACTCTACCTTAAACGCAATTTTCCTAATAGAACGCGTTCTCTTCAACCTACTACTCTCCCCCGACTCTCGCTAGCGCGCAGCCCCTCCCCTTCTAACGAAGAGTCTCGACGGCCTACACTCTACCTTACGCGCCGTTTTCCAAGAGGGACACAGATGTTACGACCCAACATGCATGACCAAGAACAGGGCCTGCCCCGCAGGCTCGCGGCGGTTATAATACACCACATATGCAGGAGATAAGGGACACTAGGCACCCTCTCACGGAACGGAAGAACTATGGTACAAGTCACGTGATGATAAGATAAGACATGAGCGGCCATGGTGGGGCCATGAGCGACCATGGTGGGGCCATGAGCGCTCATGCCAAGTAATGAGCGCTCATGCCGAACAATGAGCGCTCATGCCGAACAATGAGCGCTCACCCGATCAGAGGAACTGATCATTGACAAGGGATATGTTCAGGACCAGGACTTGTATATAGGATGGACTCGAGCCGGACTCTAGGACAGACTTTCCATAGCTCTTCAGCAATTAACTTCGTATCAGGATTAACATCCGCTTTCAGCTACTACCTTGACAAGACTACGATTGATCACCGAAGCCTTACCTACCCTTACGACTTACAGACATAGCTTCCCTGAAGCTATCCACGACTACGATTACTGTTACCAGTTCCGCAGCCTTAACTTCTGCAAACATACCTCACTACGACTAGCTGGCCGTAACAACAGACTACCTAGCGTACTACCCTCCCCCGAATGTCGCCAGAGCCAAGTCCCTCTCCTTCTTACGATGAATCTTAAAAACCTACCCAACCTACTATAGAATAGTTTAATAATGTTCTTAAGCTTGTTATGCAAGTGGTTAGGACTAACCAAAGATTAATAACTACCCTTATCCAACAATACAAGCAAAGCCGTCTATGGCAAGAAACGTGGGGTTCTCAGACAAACCTACCACCCTATTCACCCCCACGACAAAACCCCCCTTTAAGTCCATTATCTTTCCAGACTATAGCTTCCTATCGCACCTAGAGCGACAAATCTTCCTCTCCTCCTTTGAACGAAACTGTCGGAACGGCAAGGCTGATAAGGAGCAATGGGCAGGTATCGTGGGCTGGCTGGCGCCTGCCCTGGGCGAAGTGGGACAACCGGCTTAGTCACCACGGCCGGTTAAGGTGGGGCAACCACCCAGGCCGTCACCACCTACTTCGACCGACCCCTGCCCACAATGTAAATAGGAAGAACAAGAACAACAACAGCAATTATCACGGACATCGACGTGATTGTTGCCGAAGATACACCCTCATGAGGAAATGTATCACGCCTGTGATACCAACAGAAACTCCAAACCCATCGATTCCTGGCGACCTAGAGCCAATAGCGAATACTCTCTTCGATCGAGTTAATACTTTTACTAAAACTAATGGATTTAGGATTATAAGACGTAATAAAAATATATCTCGAGGAGGTCGGTGTTACGCCCGCCGCAACTTATCACTGTGGGCGCGTAGCTAAATAATGCAGAACAAGGGACAATGATGCCGGAGTCATCATTATCGAAGCTTTTGCTTTGTGCCACAGTTGGTTGCCTTGTCCTGCTCGTAACAGTCGGCTTATAAGGTATTCCTTCTAATACGATCGGTTTGGGAGCCCCGGACCTCCTAAGGGTGCAGGTATTTATCAACGCAAGTCTCGAAAGTATGGCTATAAATGGCAGGTTATTACAGAGGCCCAAGAGGAGAGCAAGTAGCTATTATGTTATTATCCAGACCCTCAGCATAGTCTATATAACTATAACCCTAGCCTCGGAGCATCTGCACACCCTTCTTATCGTAGGCTTACCTAGCCAGTTAAGGATGTTATTAAAATTATAAGCCGACGGGTTAGGATTCGGGTACGTAACGTACGTACTGTCGTCTAAGAGTAGTTCCTAGAGTCCTCATTTACTTAACGAGATATCTATAATGCTAGAGCCGGAATCAACCGAGAGAAACTAGATAGATGTTACGAGCAGGTCAAGGCAACCAACTGTGGCACAAAGCAAAAGCTTCGACAATGATGACTCCGGTCATCATTGTCCCTTATTCTGCATATATAGCTACGCGCCCACAGTGACAAGTTGCGGCGGGCGTAACACTAATAATGTGGAAATATGTTGTTTTTATAGAGACAGAGGATTGTTTTTAAAAAGCCTGGATAACACTTTATAAAGAATTTAACGACCAGCGCCTAATTCTATAGTACCTCTATATTACGTACTTACCTACGAGGGCGTAATGGTCCCGTTGCTTTATTTGGAAGTACTAGAACTTTGGTGTTCGCGTCACTTCTGGTACAGAGTTAAGTGGTCCAAACCGTTGAATAAGCTGGGCTGCTAGTAACTGCCGCCATTGATAGTTGGATTCCACCTTCTGCCACCTAGGGCTGCCCCATAGCTGCAGTAAGAAGCTATTCACAACTACCACTTCTAGTAGGAAATTCCAGGCAATTGACTGCCAGCCCCCTCGACGAATGGGGTGGCTATATTGATAATAGGACCTCATCTGGTCACTCACATCAACCCCATTCATCTTGTGGTTGTATTCATCAATTGCCCTAGGGACTGGAAGATCCTTGCGGACTTCTGGGCCAAAGACTTGCCGGGCAGCCTTTTTAGCAGCAGTATCCCCAGCTGGGCGACGGCGGCTTCGAATAACCTCCTGGCTGCTCTGGAAGACAGTTGACAGGAATAGTACGAGGGCATTATCCTTCCAGGTGAACTGGTTGACCTATTCACTAGTTAACTAGGCTGGGCTGGATGTGCTGGGCTGGGCTGGGCTGGGCTGGGCTGGATATACTGGGCTAGGCTGGCTAGTAGCTTACCTCCCCATCTAACGTAGGGATACAGTGTATTTTGCCCCAGGGGATATCCCCTCCTTCAGTCTCTTTCTCATCAACTAAGGTCTTATCTATCCCACTATCCTTTCGACAGGTACCAGAAGCTCCAACCTGTTGCTTCCGTAGGGTACGAAAGAGCCGTATCTCATCGGGTGCGGATGGACCCCATTTTCGCCAAGACCAGAATTACCCAATTTTACTCCAAAAACGCCCATATATAAGCATCTGATTGGGCAAATATTTCTAAATATTTCCAGGCAATGAATCTCATTGGGTTACCCCGCCCTTGGCGAAAATGGGGTCCATCCGCACCCGATGGGATAGAGGCGAAGAGGTTGTCAAGAAAGACGTGGTAGGTTGCAGCTGGGAGTAGGGAAACTAGGGTAGTTACTACCTGCTGTGTTGGTGTCAACAGAGCCAGCTTTCCAGCAGCCAGCCCAGCTGGCTGGGCCTGAGGGACTAATGCGTATGGGCCCCTTCCATGTACGTGCCACAGCCACCGTATACAGTAGCCAGACTGGGCAAGGATCCAGATCTTATACCCAGTTGGAATAGGCTTCGTTGGAATCGTTGTTGTCTCAAGAGATCGACCTGTAAATCGAACCATAGCCTCATCAACTGTAAGATCTGAACCAGGTATATAAAAATCCGTAGTCGCCGGAGCAGTAGTTGGAATCGGTTTCTAGAAATAAACCGCGTAAATAGGTGGATATGATCCTCTCTTTGCTCTTGGGTTGACCAATAGGTTGATAATGCAGATTCCCTATGGATCCCTATATATAATAGGATCCCTAGGAAGAGGTAGATCTCTTCTACTGAAGTCTGCCGCCATGAATTCACTCTAGACGTTCTAGCCCTAGGGCCAGATAACGGCATCGCATTTGTCCACTGGGCCCACTGCTCCACGAGGCTCTGCGGAACGTATTGGACGAAGAGATCCAGCGGGCTTGCCGGCAGCTGCTGTACTTCTTGGGCCCGGGCTGGCACGTCAAAGGGCCGGAAGGAGCCCGGAGGTCCATGCTCGGTAGCTGGAGGTTCGTGGGGCCGGACTGTTGCTGCGTCACAGCGTTCTGGCGTACAGTCTGTATTACAGGCAGCAGTAAGGTCTTCTGGAAGGATCTCAACTACTATACAACTGCGTACGGAAGTAATAGAAGCATCGGAATCACTAGAAGACATCGCAGCATTAATCGAAATGGTAGTAATAGTGGTGATACTAGGCAAAAGAGCATAGGGATAAGTGACGTATTATTAAGTACCCCTTTGAATGCGGGGTAATAAAGTGTAAATAGTGGGTATTTTGGGGCTTGGCAAAAATGGCGTCAGTCAGCACTCGATGGGATAATCACGGAGAAGCTGGATATGCATCTCGTGTGGACGAACGGACGCATCTTCATCAAGCCTCTGCCACGCTATCTCCTTGAGCAGAGGTTTTGGAAAAAATACCTATGTTCTCACGAGGTGCCTTTCACGAGCATAGCACACGAGCGTGCAATGGTTTTTCTCTTCTCGTATGCAGCGCTCATGATGCATGAGAGCGACTTCCATATTGCGAAGGAGATACACCTCATCCCTGAAGAGGTGCAGTGGCCGGCGTGGAGGGTTGCCATTAGACAGCTATTGGACGGTCCTTCCATCTACTCCCGCATCGACCCACGTTTCCACTATGGGGAGCTCCGCCTCAGCCGGCTTAACAAGATCTACTTCTTCTGGCAGAAACCGCTCTACGGCTACACGTCTCGCTAGAACCAGTACGGCTCGTTCTTTCACGACAACTTTGCGCTACTAGCCAGCTCGACCGTCTATATTGCTGTCGTCCTGACGGCGATGCAGGTCGGTCTTGCCACGGAGGCCCTCCAGAGCAATGGAGCATTCCAGTCGGCCTCTTACGGCTTCACCGTATTCTCAATAGTAGGGCCGCTGGCCACTGCCGTTCTAGTCGTTGTGGTGTTCTGCTACCTGTTCATTGGCAATTGAGTTGCCACACGACACTACAGTAGGGAAAGATTAAAGCGAATTCAGGGTCGGTAAACCTGGCCTCGACATCATCAGCGGCTGGGTGGCCTCAACCGGTGAGGGGTCAATACGGCTCGCTAGGTGACGCGGTAATAAGGAAGTCTTGTACAACAGTCTAGATCCACGAGGCTTGATTATGCGTCACGTCGCTGTACCTAGACCGAAATGGGAATACCGTCCTCGTCAAAGGCTGCCCTCCATTCGCAGGTATGCATCACTATCACTGTGCCACGACGTATATGTGGTTTTGGCGAGCTGCATGATGCTGGGCATAAGCCGTACTACATATGTAATTGACCATAAAAGCAGAAAATCAAGGGGTTGGTTGGACGCCGTCTGTCGTAATCAGGGTAGAAGTGAGGCCGGTCAAGGGTCTATCTTTTCTTGTCTTTCTTGCCCCTATTCCGTTGTTCCCATGCAAAGAGGTGATGGCAAGGCCATTATCAGCCCCACCATGGGCCCTAGCCCACTTCGCATACTCCATTAGGCGCTGCAATCAGCCCTAAATGATTTTACTATTAAGCCTCTGGGCTGCTCACAAGTCCGCATCGCGACGAAGGCGGGTGTTGCGAGTGGTCCATCCTCCGTTCTAAAATACGGCGTGGCTGCCAGTGAGGGGTCTAAACGGGGGCTAGGTACGGACCGCGTGGGTGTCTTCCTCGTACCCGAGCGCCAGAGGGCCATGCCGATCAATCCTGACCGTGGTTCAGATAGGCGCCCTTGGCACACAAGACGCAGCCATCTTAATGGCGAATGGTCTACTTCAATCCCTGGCTTCTCAACACAATGCTGTGTACCACCCTGGCTGACGTGTCAGGCTTACACCCCCTCATGAGGTCCAGAGGAGACAAGCCGGTATGATTTGATTCTAGGCACTAACGCGCACACAGCAGCAATAACGCACAAACAACCAATACTGCCTACTAGGACACTCCCAAGCTCATCTGGCTGACCTGGATGTCTTCTTCTACATCACGCGACCTATCTACACGTCGCAAAGCTTTCTCCTGGACCTTGGCTGACGTACTGCCGTGATGACTTCTTTTACATATGGCACATCTTCGCTATGGGCTGTCGGGATAGCTACAATTGCTGCTCTGCTACTTACAGCGTACCCGTTCATCGTCAGGCTCCAGCCTGACCGGCGAAATGCACGCGCAGACGGCCTTGATATCATCTACGATCCATCAGAAAATAAACCTACAGGTAACCTTCAATTCGAGTAAGAAGTCTTGCTTACCAGACATATGTCTTAACAGCTGACTCTTTATAGAATTGTCGCTGTCCACGGCCTTGGTGCGCATCCTGATCACACTTGGGAGGGTAAAAAAGACCAGGCCAAGGTTCACCTCCTCCGAAATTTGCTCCCAGAGGCTTTCCCAACTGCAAGAATTCTATCCTTTTCTTACAACTCCGACTGGCTAGTAGATGCCCCCGAGAAGACGGCACAGCAAGTTGGTTATAGATTAGCGGAGATACTTGCCAAACATCGAGCCGGAGCTTTGCGCCTTCCTATTATCTTCATTGGGCATAGTTTTGGCGGTATCGTTATTAAAGAAGTATAATCACCGTTGAACATCTTATTCTCTTCATCTGACATATGCTACAGGCCCTCTGCGCGTCATACTCGTCTCCGAATACGCTAGCGGATACGTGCGGTATTATCTTTCTTGGAACCCCTCATCAAGGGTCATCATTATCAGCTGCGGGAGCTCTCCTGAGCAAGCTGACCGGCTTCCTTGGCTCCAACACGGCTTTGCTCCTGTCCTTGCGAGGCAATCACAACCGGCTTTCAGACCTAGAAGATCGTTTTCGCTATGTTCTTAGCAACGAGAAGATTGCGTCGTTTTATGAGACAAAGCCCACATATTATCTAGGTCTCGCTGTTGGCTGTGTGAGTGTGGCTGTCTTCTTCTGCTATCTTTTCTAATTTCTGAGCAGATTGTCGATAGAGAATCAGCCAGAGGCTTTTCAAGAAGCCCGGTTGGCATAGACACCAATCATTCTGGGCTCAATAAGTTCAGCCACCCTAAGGATCCTGGATTCCAAGTACTCAAGGCCGCTATCGAGGAATTCCGAGCTAAGCCCCTCATCAAGCAAGCAGACGACTTCTTGTTTGAGAAGCACTATAACAGCGAAAAGCTCAAGATCCAGAGGCTGTCGGGAGAGGAATTATTAATGGACCAATGCTATATAAATCTTTCCATCGTGGAGCAGGTCCAGAAGAAGACCCCCTCACAAGATGAGTTGGAAACGAAAGCCTCAGCCCCAAGGTCCTCGCCATTCTCACTTCTTGCGCGACTAAAGGTTGAGACGTCAGCAGAGCACAGTCAAGTCCAATTGAAAGACATTTTCAGTCAACGCAAAAGATCCGATGGGATAGAAATCTCACCCAGGAGGATCTTGATTCGCGGACGTGCTGGGGTGGGTAAGACTACCCTATGTAAGAAGATGGTGCATGATTTTGTCAGGAGTGGCATGTGGCGCGACCTATTCGACCGTGTGCTCTGGGTACCTTTGAGGAACTTGAAGGAGCGACCAGCCCCCGGTTATAACCTCGAGAGCCTCTTCTTCGACGAGTTCTTTCGGCCTCGAGGAAATAGGTCGGGGGAGCTCTTCGCTGAGGAGACCAGAAAGGCGCTGAAGGACGATCGAACGCTGTTTATCCTTGACGGTTGGGATGAAGTGGATCGTATTGCTAACGCCGGCTCTAATATGTCCTGTTTTCTACGCGAATTACTTCATCAACCCAATATCATTATCACCTCGCGGCCGTCTGCTAGTGTTCCTATTCCGGACCAGCAGCCAATTCACCTAGAGCTAGAAACAATTGGATTCAACCCGACTCAAGTGGACGAATATATCGAAGTAACGCACGTTAAAACGGACACCAGGAAGGTGGATGAAATAAAAACTTTCCTTCAAAGCCACGAGCTTATCAGAAGTCTCGTCAGAATTCCGATACAGCTAGATGCACTCTGTTACTGCTGGAACGATTTTAAGGGCAACCGAGGAAACTCGCCGGAGACTATAACCACGCTATACGAGGCGATACAAACGAGTTTATGGAAAAAGGATATCTGGCGGCTTGAAAAGAAGCATGAGGGGGAAAGAATCGAAGCCATTGACTTGAAGAATGCTGGTCAACTTAGTGTCGAAAGACATGTTAAGGCCGAGGCTAGTTTTCTCGAGCACCTCGCTTTCGCTGGGTTAGTTGCCGACAAATTGGAATTCGAGTCGGAGTACCGAGACATGATCAATGAATATGCGACCAGCAGCAGTTCAGATCTTATGCTGGATAAAACGCTGCCTTGCCTCTCATTTCTACGAAGCTCAGACCCATCGGTCCAGCCTATTCACCAGAGCTATCATTTTATCCACTTGACATTTCAGGAATATTTTGCCGCACGCCACTTTGTGCAACACTGGAATCACCGCCAACCTTTCAAGCAGCACCTATCTGGTCAACAGAGTGGTAGGGATATAACTCCTGTCGAGTTTTTTAAGAGACATAAATACGACACACAGTACAACGTTATGTGGCGTTTTGTGGCTGGGCTGCTGGACAAAGAGAAGAACGCGAGTAATTTCTTTGAAGAAATTGAGAAAGAGCCGATCGACCTTCTGGGACCTACCCACCAACGGTTAATCATGTACTGCTTAAACGAGGCACTTGAATTACCAACTGGGCTTCGAGATCAGAGGGGAAAAAGACTATTACAATGGGTATTATTTGAGAGGGACTTCACAGGATCATCAACATTTATAAGTGAACCAGAGATTCCAGAACAAGTATTGAATAGCGCCTTGAGTGCTTCTGGAGACAAAACCCGCTTCTTGGACGCTTTGCGCCGTTCTCAAAGGTACTTATCAGACGTAACCACGGCCGCCCTTATCGGACTCCTCAAGGACGAGGACAGCAATGTACGATCTTCCGTCGCTAGAGCCCTGGGCAACCAGTCGACGTTATCGAACACAACCACGGCCGCACTTGTCGGACTCCTCAAGGACGAGGATAGATACGTACGGTCTTATGCCGCTGAAGCCCTAGGCAAGCAGTCGACGTTATCAGACACAACCATGGCCGCCCTTATGGAACTCCTCAAGGACGAGAACTGGTACGTACGAAGATCCGCCGCTGAAGCCCTAGGCAACCAGTCGACGTTATCAGACACAACTATGGCCGCCCTTATGGAACTCCTCAAGGACGAGAACTGGTACGTACGATCTTCCGCCGCTAGAGCCCTAGGCAACCAGTCGACGTTATCGAACACAACTATGGCCGCCCTTATCGGACTCCTCAAGGACGAGGATAGATACGTACGATCTTATGCCGCTAGAGCCCTAGGCAACCAGTCGACATTATCAGACACAACCATAGCCGCCCTTGTCGGACTCCTCAAGGACGAGGACAGTAACGTACGATCTTCCGCCGCTGAAACCCTAGGCAAGCAGTCGACGTTATCAGACACAACCATGGCCGCCCTTATCGGACTCCTCAAGGACGAGGACAGTAACGTACGATCTTCCGCCGCTGAAGCCCTAGGCAAGCAGTCGACGTTATCAGACACAACCATGGCCGCCCTTATCGGACTCCTCAAGGACGAGAACTGGTACGTACGAAGATCCGCCGCTGAAGCCCTAGGCAACCAGTCGACGTTATCAGACACAACTATGGCCGCCCTTATGGAACTCCTCAAGGACGAGAACTGGTACGTACGATCTTCCGCCGCTAGAGCCCTAGGCAACCAGTCGACGTTATCGAACACAACTATGGCCGCCCTTGTCGGACTCCTCAAGGACGAGGATAGATACGTACGATCTTATGCCGCTAGAGCCCTAGGCAACCAGTCGACGTTATCAGACACAACCATGGCCGCCCTTATCGGACTCCTCAAGGACGAGGACAGCGATATACGAGAATCCGCCGCTGAAACCCTAGGCAAGCAGTCGACGTTATCGAACACAACCACGGCCGCCCTTATCGGACTCCTCAAGGACGAGGACAGTAACGTACGATATTTCGCCGCTAAAGCCCTAGGTAACCAGTCGACATTATCGAACACAACCATAGCCGCCCTTATCGGACTCCTCAAGGACGAGGACAGCGATATACGAGAATCCGCCGCTGAAACCCTAGGCAAGCAGTCGACGTTATCGAACACAACCACGGCCGCCCTTATCGGACTCCTCAAGGACGAGGACAGTAACGTACGATATTTCGCCGCTAAAGCCCTAGGTAACCAGTCGACATTATCGAACACAACCATAGCCGCCCTTATCGGACTCCTCAAGGACGAGGACAGCAATGTACGATCTTCCGTCGCTAGAGCCCTGGGCAAGCAGTCGACGTTATCAGACAGCATACTAGATGCAATAGGAATACCTATCCAGGTAAAAGCACAAACTAATTCGGGAATCCCCATTTTTCGTCGTTCTCGAGATATAGAGCTATTGTATGAAAGCCTCTTGCAGCGCAGCTTTAACGAGCATTTTAGTCTTTATATTGATAGAGATATCTTCATTCTTAACCAGGCGCCTGGACTTAGAATGGCAACCTTGGAGGATCAATCTCTGTTTCAGATGGCAGTAAAGCAGGGGCGAAAACATTTGGAGAAGAGCAATTTCTACAGTTTATGGAGTAAACCTGACGAACAGGATAGTCGTTAAACACTACTATCTTGTTTTGTCAATTCTCTGTTATTACTGTTGGTATCCCTATCACAGGGAAGTTGGTTCGAACCGTAGGGTCCTCGCGGCCAAATTGGACTTCCAATCCGACAATTACTAATACTTAGTAGTAAAGCAGTAGGAAGAGGTCAATGTCACTTTCAAGGCTGCATAGCATAGCATTGTTCATCACGTGTAGAAGGAAATCGGAATATAGTTTTATAATACTTACTTCATAATTAGTGCGCGCACCAGTCTTTGTACAAGGCTGTGGAGGTCCTGGCCAAACGTCTAAATAGCATATATGTATACTTCTTAGAGCGCAAAATATTTTTCATTCTCATAATAAAAAAGCAGGTACAGTCGCAGGGATCATCTATTACTATCCTAAATGAGACCTGTTACGTTCAGCTAGTCTCTGACAGTAGGGTCTGTAACAGAAGTTAGGGATTGGCGGTATAGGTCAGATGTCGTTTGTAGTTCTCAGTCGTAAGGCAGGATACGCTAAACAGACCAGGTCTTCAGAAACTGAGGTGATCAGGCTTGAACTCAACAAGGTAATTCGCAGTAAAGGTAAGCTGGCAGTATTCCGAAGAATATTTATAAAGTTGGTTGCTGAAGAGCTATTGTTGGTATTCCTATCACAGGGATGTTGGTTCGAACCGTAGGGTCCTGGGGGTGACGAAGTATCAATATCTCTGTATTGATTGATTCTGCGTAAGGAGTAGAAGGGAGATTCCAACCGGAGGTTGGGTGGGTAGTCGAGTTCTAAGTGTACCCCCTCGAGGTGGTCCATGCTCTGCCCCTACTCGCGGCCGAATTGGACTTCCAATCCGACAGCTATGGAAGTCTAACCTAGAGCCAAGTGTCACGGCCAGCTAGTCGTAGTAAGGTATGTCTGCAGAAGTTGAGGCTGCGTTACTAAATAACGGTACCTTAGTCGGGGATAGCTTCATGACAGAATCCATGCATGCTCCTATGCGAGTCATGGACATAACTGTTGGAACAGCAAAGCTGATAAGGAGTAATAGGCAGGTACCATGGGCTGGCTGGCACCTGCCCTGGGCGAAGTGGGACAACTGGCTTAGTCATCACGGCCGGATAAAGGTGGGGCAACCACCCAGGCCGTCACTACCTACTTCGACCGACTCCTGCCTACAATGTAAGATAGAAGAACAACAAGAAGAACAAGCAATAGGATCACCAACAGACGAGTGATAATTGCTACCACTATTTGTCGTATACGACCCCGTGAACCAACAATAACCCATTCGGAATGGTCTGACCATCACGAAACAGGCCAGACTGTCATTTCCACCTGGTCTTAGCTCTGCAAGACTTATTAGGATAGCATTAGGCCCACAAGCCTGTGGTGATTCCATCCACTCTTTAGTACGAATAGACGCTCTTTTCTGCTAACTCACATATGCATATTCCGCTGGCCACCCTGACTAACCGTCATGTCCCTTGTCTCCTGCATATGTGGTGTGTTGTAACCGCCGCGAGCCTGCGGGGCAGGCCCTGTTCTTGGTCATGCATGTTGGGTCGTAACAAAAACCTCTCCGCAAAGGCATACTAAGTAATTAATGGACTACGGGGACTAGGGAACACTATCTAGGGCGCGCCTACGTACTTACTTCGTCGAGCGATCACCTCTTATATACTACCTACTTAGTACTATATATCTAAAGTATAGTAGCCCGGTAAGAGCCGGAAAAAGAATAGACGTACTATCTTAAACAGGGTTAGTAATCTACTATACCAACTAGACGCAATATAAACCAAAGCTATTTGTTGGTTTGCGTGTACCACAGGTTAGTCACACAGGTATTCCTGGTATCGCGATCGGTAGCAATATCGTTGTGTTGGTATCACAGGCGTGATACATTTCCTCATGAGGGTGTATCTTCGGCAACAATCACGTCGATGTCCGTGATAATTGCTGTTTTTCTTGTTCTTATTTACATTGTGGGCAGGGGTCGGTCGAAGTAGGTGGTGACGGCCTGGGTGGTTGCCCCACCTTAGCCGGCCGTGGTGACTAAGCCGGTTGTCCCACTTCGCCCAGGGCAGGCGCCAGCCAGCCCACGATACCTGCCCATTGCTCCTTACCAGCCTTGCCGTTCCGACACGTTGGGTTAATCTGGTGTTCTTGTTGTTGTTCTTGTTCTTAAGGAGAGTATCTAAACGCGAAGGCTCGTGATATGGAAGGAGGGAGCTGAGGTGTGTCACGTGCCGAAGACACGTGACATAGCTCGGCTCCGTGTATACCTAGCGATTGCCGTTTGTTCCCACACTATTAAAGCGATAGTCCCCGTATATAGAACGACGCCTATATCGATCCTATAGCGCGAGGTAGCTCTACCCCTAGCAGAGGTAATACTAGATACAAAGCTCCACAAAGCGTCCACTAGAATCCATCGTCTGGACGAGCGATACCCTCTCCGAAAGAGACTTAGGGATAAATCAGGACCAGACTCACGGCTACGACGAATGGCAAACCTCGTAAGCAAAAATACTAAATATATCGATCCGTTAGAACTCCACCCTTAGGAGTAACTAGCGGACTGGTAGACAGCCTTCGCCAGGGTCGGCTACGAACCTAATAAGACCAAAGAAGAACAGACCCTATCCTTTACAGGTAAGGTAGCAACTTTCTCTAAGCGGGATATTATTATCTATACTAACGGGTCCTAAATATCGGACGGTAATAGTACCTCCGCCGGAGCAGGCTGGGTAGGGTACCAAGCTATACGGCAGATCTTCTACGGATCCGAACCACTCGGCTCCTAAACTAAGGTATATAACGCGGAGGTATATACTGCGTATTACGGCCTAATAGAAGCCGCCCGGGCTCCTACGGCTCGTATAATAGATAACGTCTATATCTACCTCGATAACCTCGTAATCGTAGCTAGACTATACTCCTAGAGTATAGGAAGTAGCTAGGCTAGATTCAGGGCCTTTAATAGGCTCTCTTCCTCCTGGACTCGGAGATAAAGAGAGAGCTGGACAACCCCCGGCAGGGTTTATGTTTAGTGGTGCCCTGGGCACACGGGAGTACTAGGAAATGAAGAAGCGGATGCTCTAGCCAAGGAAGCCTGCAAACTAATCCTAAAATCATAACCACATCCCTCATTAGCGCACCTAGAAAGGCAAGCTAAAGCAGCTACCTTCCAAGCCTTTGCCAGAAAATAGCTATCCTAATACCCTCGGCAATATACCGACCTCGAGATAATTCTTCATCCCAAGCCGCCCGAACTCCGCCTCCCTCGGTACTTACTAGGAAGGCTATACGTAGCAAGATCCTATCATAGAGACTTTACAGCATACCACGAGAGATTTAATTATTAAGATGCGTTACTTAACTATAGCTGTGGGAAAACTAAGACACCGGTCTATTTCTACTTCTATAAGCGTGGACGTAAGGCTATACTACGCTACCTCCGCCAACGTATAGCTAAAGTAAATATTAATTTCTTATTAGGCTCTACTAAGGGAGCCTCTCTTCTATACGAATAGATAGAGGAGACTAATTTCTTTTCCGAAATTTGCCCGAGTCATTAAACAGGAACGTTAGGTAAAGACGGTAGCCTATAACATAGTTTAGATTAGCATAGACCATGTCGGCATAGCGCCCGGCACGTCCTTTTGTTACCAGACGTTAAATACATCATCATCATCATCATCATCCTTGATTCTCATGGTACTGTACTGTCCTAGCCGCCGTGAGCCTGCGGGGCGGGCCCTAGTCTGGTTATGCACGTTGGGTCATAACACCAAGCTCAGGTCATACGATATATAAGTCCTGAACAGTGCTCTTTCTGATTGTCTTGTTACTGTTCCTATTCTTGACGGAGTCCGTCGTTTGTTCATACAGCACTCGTATGTGTCGAACAAGGCAGAGGATACTCAGCCTCCCGGCCAGGCAGCTAGCCTCTCGGGCTGGGAACAAGAAAAACGGAGCTGGCCCTGTCACTGAACGGCGCGCCCGAACGGAGGAGAATTTGGGCCCGCACTTCCGTTTTTACGGATGAGTCAACGTCCCAGCCTCCTTATGATAGGCCGGCCCTCATTAGCTTATCTATGGGAGAGCGGACGGGATCCCGAGTTTTCCAATGGGTATGGTCGTATGTGGCAGAATAACCATTGCGAGAAGCTCAAGACGGCATCTGGGCGGTCCTGTCTGTAAGTCGGAAAGTCATGAGACGTAGGAGAAGCCTATTGTTGGACCATGACGGGCTGCGAGCTTGTATTTGAAGGGTCCGCAGTGTTCAATGGTCGATGTGGGTACCGAATTGGGCGCGACATTGCAGTGTGAACTCACCCTCATAGTTATGTTGCTTTCACGAACTCATGTCTCATATCAAACGGCTGAGACTTCTTGAAGCGCACTCATAATCCCTGTTACATCTTGGACACAGTGGATTTGCAGTGACACTCACATAGAGAATTGTATCTCGAATTTGAGATACGCATGTTGCTCCTCCATGCCATGCTTCGCGGATGGCCAAAGCTACATGAACACTCTGTGCGGTTATAACTTGAGCCTCACACCATCAATCGTCAAGCTCTTCTCCCATATCCATATGTGTTGCTCGCAATCCAGCAATGCTTTCCAAATACTCCAGAAAGATCAAAATTAACTAATGACATACACGAGACACGCCAGGGCAACTCATCTCCCAAGCTCTCAGGCATTACAACTTCCCTCTGCATACGTGCCGCACCGGATCCGAAAGTAGTCATTATCAATATTATAGTCATTGGTGCCGCTTCTCGCGTCGCGGCAGATAGTACACCGATTCGCTGGGTTATTGCTGTTCTGCACATTTTGGTCGAGGTAGTACACCCGGCCACCGATATCCTCGGCGCTGTCCCACGTGCTGCTCGGGTATGGCCAGAAGTAGGCGCAGGCCTTTGCCATTGTGACCGTGGCGAGCGTTGAGACGAGGAAAGTGGATGAGGCTCGCATTGTGTCTATTTCGGGTTCGTATGGGCTG